CATGCCCAGTATAAAAACTGGGGGCAGTTACCCGGAAGGGCTAGATCGCTGCTTGGGTCAGGCTGGGTATTGGTCGGCGGGTTGAGCGGTTGTATTCTCTTCCCTTGTTATTTCCCTTCTCATTATTATTATTGGTGGTAGTAGTAGTGGTTTGTGTTATACCTTAGTTACTGGACTGTTCTAATCTCAACCCATGGGAGTTACATTCTTTCTGTTCTCCTCCCCATCCCTCCGGGAGCAGGCGAAGGAAGAAAGGTGGGGGAGTGAGCGAGCGGTTGCATGGTTCTGGGTTGCCAGCTGGGCTTAAACCATGACACCAGTTTATACCCAGAACTTCCCCTTGAAATCAAGAAGGTAATAGACACTCAAATAAGACCCAGTGGTTAGTTTTATAAGGGCAGTCAGATTCAAAATCTGTTGTCAGTGTGTGATCTAAAAAAATTCACGAAAACCTACCAGCTGTGATTTTCTGGCCATCGGAATGGCTGTGGGGGTGCTAACTCCAAAGACCAGCTCCAACTCTGAAAGATACCCTCTGTCTAATTGAGTCTCCTTGTACTTTCAGGAATGTAAGAGCTCACTCTACATTTTGAAAAATTATGCTGACTTTTTAAAACACAAATTAGTCTAACATGTAAAATTGTGTGTTTATATTTTCAGGAGTGCATTCTCTGCAGAATAAAATAATTGTTGAAAATTTTCAAAAACTATTTAACAGTTTTGAGTCATGTTATGTAACATTCAGGTGAAAGATTTTGACAACGTGAGTTGATAAGTATGACGTAAGAGGGAGAGGAGAGGAGAGGGGAGGGGAGGAGAGGAGAGGAGAGGGCAGGACAAAGAGGACAGGTATTCAAATATGTTGCTGAGTGCCCTGAAAGGACACAGTTTTCATAGGGCTGTAATCTGTACTCACATCAACTGGTAGAATAGCAATAGGTATATTACATGACCACGTTTCTTCAAAGGGGTTTCATTTCTCAGGGCTGTGAAAATTGCTGTAGGTTATTCAGCAATATGGGGCTATTCCATCTGTTTTACCAGTTCTTTTTCCCCCCTTTTCTTATTTCCCCAGTAATTTTCACCTCTGGTACTTTACTTCAGGAGGTCTTTGTCTTCACTGTCATTGACTTTTGGAATCGTTTGTTCCCTGTAGTGTAAACTGTACTTACGGAAATGTGTCATCATTTTACACATACCTCCTGCAATATGAAGAAATCATATCAAATACACCATGTTTCTTTATATTGGATATTCTCACTAGGACATTTAAGAAACAAAGTGAAAATCAAGTTGAAAGATCTTTAGTTACTTGATCCAGAAGCTTCCAATAAAAGTGCCCCTCAGCAGAATTTGTGCGCTTCTGCTGCATGAACTTGTGTTAGCAGTTGTTGGCATTAAAGGCTGGCTTTGACATATTCCTCTATAAACAGTTATTTCTCACTAGGGTTTTTGAAATTCCCTCATGTTATAACTTGAATTTTACATTTCTAGTACCTTAAAACAGCTCAGGAATGATCTACAGAATCAGTGGGTATTATAGAGATGTTTAGGAGAGAAAAATAGTGTCAATATTTGGAAAATGATGAAAAATTCTCCAATTTCCTGCATAGCTGTAAGATTTATTGTTCCCACCATTCTCTGTGTGAAGAAAATATACATATATATATAATTCTTCCAATAACTTTCAAGCTGGTTTGCAGAATTTGACATGGAGGTAGAGGAATTAGATACACCATTTTTTAACAGGTTTGAAGTTGATAAGTGACTGGGTAAAATGGGGACCACTAAGAGACAGACTGACAAGTTCATCTCCAGTTGTGAAATAGGTGTTCTGAGTTTCAACAGAAGGAAAAGCATTGGTCAGAGCTTTGTTAGCAAATTCAACCATAATTCATCTGTAATAAATCACACTTTGCTGCTTCTACTGTTCCCAGAACTGTTCTGTATATGTTTATTTTAGGGCTCTGTGCCTGCCATAAATTTGGGGCTGTTTCTCAAGCAGTGACAGTGATATATTGGTATGACTATGCTGGCTCCCACAATTGGGACCGTAGACATGCTGAACAAACAGAACTTCATGTTTCCTTTCTTAAAAAAATATCACCTATCATGAGATTCATCTATGGTCAGAGTCCATAAACATGGTTTACTGTTGACCACAGGGGCTATGAAAGAGTACATTCAAGAACATTTGCTGCAGGGTGAATTTCAATTAGGAGCGTGGTCCAGCTGAATTTCTTTTCTTTTCTTTTTTCCTTTTCTTTTTTTACTTTTTTTTTCCCTGATGATCTAAGTTAAGCAGTATCAGGGTTTTCTGAGCAACATTGGACTGTATTAGATCTTCTAGGCAGGCCATCAGTGCAAAAACAAATGACCCTAAAAGCAGCTTTTTCCTTTCCAGACTTTTCTCTATTTCAGCTGAAGTGAGAGAACTGTTTCATAGAATAAAATTAAGGAAAAAATATTTCGTTTGTCCTGAAATTGTAGTATCAAAAAAGTGTCCATCACTGTCGGGAACAAGGTAGGAGAGAGTAGGGACATGGTCAGAAATGTAGTTCAGATGTGGGGAGCAATCAGAGACTGATGTTTCCTATGTTGGCCAGCAGGATTTTTCTGTGCAAGTCTTAGTGCTCAGAAAGTGAAAAGAAAGGGCACAGCACAGGATAGGGAGACAAGGGGAGGAGCAGGGTGAGACACAGGAGATGAACCATCAGCACACCAGTGGGATAGGATGACCACGAAAGCACAAGCCATAGCAGGCTGGCTATTGCAGAAGGAGGAACGGATCAGGTGCTAGTGCAGGTGTACAAGGAAGAAGAGAAAATGAGTACCCTGGAAAGCAGTGAGAGGGTGAATGGCAGAGACACAAGGATATTGAACACACAGAGGAATGGAACACGCAGAGGAATGGAGGACAACAGTGTACATTGGCTTTTGCCAGCAAATACTTTCAAAGCCTGCTAGCTGACCACATTTCTTGTCCCTGGCAGCAGCTGGTCCATACAGAATAGAGACTAGTTACTTCTTAGCCAGGGAGATTACATACCAGGATGGATTTGAAAGATGTTGCTTCAGTTCTATGCCCACTGATACTAATTTTTGAAGACAACCTGAATTTTGGTGTTCCAGTGCATTTGAGTAGCTGACTTTGTAAACTTAACCTTGTGTTCGTCTCATACTGTGTGAGTGTGTGTGTTAATAGAGATATATGATTAAGGGGAAAATGCCAGAAAGCTAAGCCTATGTATAAACTATGCAGCTGGCACAAATCCTGAACTAAGAGAGATACAAGGTTGTTGCTTCTTGCTCCTTCTCTACCCATCACCAGATAAAATGGGATGTTTTCCTAAACTGATACACATTGTTGGCAAGGCTAATTGAGAATAGAAACTCAAGGATAGCTTTTTTGTTGTGCCTGCTGTTTAGATGGACCAACAACTCACTGTTATAAACACAACTGTAGTCCTTTCATCCACTAAAAATGACTTTTTAAATTATGAAATGTGGGTTTGGAAAAAAAGGTGGAGCAGAAATGATTGTGAATGCTGCTTATATTTTTATGATGATGTTCTGAAGTAAGGCTAGAACACCAGAGCTCTGAACGTTACAGTGAGAAAACACAGACTGAAATAACTTTAAATCTCCTTCTCCAGACCGCTTTACATTCTACCTTGTCTATGATAACAGCAGACTCTCTGATCTTCCTTCAAGCTATACACACACAAATTGCTAAAGCCATTTTTTTCCCTTTTGACCTGATTGTGACACTTCCAGCTTTGAAACATTATTTATGCTGCTGTCTTCTCTCTTTTCTCTTCTTTGCTACCTCCTTCAAAGACCCACACAATTCTCTTATTCCTTATTTAATCCCTCTGACATGCTTCCAAATGCCCTCACTCCTTTGCAGGTGCTTCCCAGTCTTTTCTGACAGCTTAGACAAGAGTTGGCTTCTATAGTTCCCATTATTTGCAAGATTTTACAGTGTTTGGGGTCAGATCTGGACAAGCAGAGAAAATGTCTTGCATTGTGTAATTTTTTTTAGGAAGATTTTTTTAAAACTTCCCGTGAAACTTTTTGCTTTGCAAAAAGGAAAATATGGAAACAAAATTGAAACATATATGAGTTCTTATGCTGATTGTGGAAAGGCTGGGTAGAAGCCTGTTGGAGAGCAATGGTGTCCTGAGATGCACACAAACTTCGCCTTTGCCTGGAATGTGTCTTTTGAGGTTTATCATTGGCATGAACTGCACTTGAAATAAAAAAGTGCCAAAATTATCATCTCACACTTACTTAGATCTCATGATCACCATCTAGAGAAAAAGCTTTTCCTACCACATGTGAAAACAAAGCATGGTTGATAAAGATTATATTTGACAGAAAGAATACAGTCACTAGTTAGACACCTGGTAAAACTGCAATAGCTGTCTGTTCCAGAAACCCTTTCCTTTCAAACCGTGAGGTGTTTTGGATGAATGGTGTGATACCACCTCTTCTAATATAATGAAGAATAAGTAAAAATATTGAAATGAGAATTAATTTTTTTTTATATGTCTTCAAAGTTTGTCTACGCATCACCATGACCTTTTCTCTTTCTAATCACCAAACATGAAAGGCTTTGCTTTAAGGGACCAACGTCACAGGCACCCTACTGGTGAGGTAGAAAGTGTGCACCTAAGTCAGTGGACTGGATCCCAATTTTTTGCTGCAGGTCATATCATACCTGATTGATTCCCTTTGACTGCATGGTTCTTCATGGGAGACAGATGTTTCCATAATTACGACAAACCAAGTTACCCAGCACACATGCTCCCAAAGTGTGCCTGCTTCTACAAAGTGAAAAAGCTTTGACCAATAGGAATACCACTAGACTTTAAGGTGCACTTTATTTCATTGATGAACTTTTAGGTGTCTCCTGCAGTAATGGTTTTATAAACTGTAATCATTGACATCACTTACTCAGGATTTATAAGAGAGACTAATGTTGCCTATTTTTTCAGACTGCTACAGGGACAAATAGTTGGTGTTGAAGAAGCAAATCAGGATCTTCATGGAGAAGAAAATGAAAATAATTTAAAAAAAAGAATGGTGCGTGGGTTTTATAACCAGCAAGGCATTTTTCTAAAGTGCCTGTAAAAGTACATGGTGTGATGTGACTGTTTTATAAAAGAGGGAAGGGCGATGTGTGGGATCCATTACATAATATTATTGCAGAGTTAATCAGCAAAAGGGCACAAGGGAAAAAGGATATCATGGAAACCAATTCACATTGTATACCACTTTACAAAATCAAAAAATTACAGTGTTTGCTCAAAACCTCCTCTGTAGCAGGATTAACTACCAAGGAAATTAAAAATTATGTAAGAGGAAAAGCTGATAATCCAGGATGATCCAGAGGATTTTGAAGATATCTCTGTACTGTTAACAATCTTGTCATTAAATCTAGCAATTTAATGATCTACATTGTCCATTGGTACAATTAAGTACAGTTCCATGTACACACTTAATACATTTTTTACTTTGACATAGATCTAAGAATGATATTGAATCATAGAATAGAATCATAGAATAGAATCATAGAATAGTTAGGGTTGGAAAGGACCTTAAGATCATCCAGTTCCAGCCCCCCTGCCATGGGGACCATGAGCCGTATATTTAAGTGTTGTGCCGTGTACTCCTGTTGAAGGCAGTATATCTGTGTTGATTAAAAAGCCAGGGATGTGGTTCATAAACCATTACTTTTAGGGATGTCTGAAGCAAGTGTTGGAAATCCTGCTTTGTACTCTCAGTGATGTATAGCTCTAACTTGTTTCTGCAGCTCCATCTTTGTGTTGGTGTTTGGTGTCAGCCATTTTGACACATTCTACTATTTTTATTGCCTGAAAGACAATGTAATAGTAAATAAGAATAAAATAAGCCAGTTGTCTTCACGAGAAAAATACTTTAGGAAAGGTGCTGTAATTTTCTTGATAGCTAAGTTGTGCCTATTGAATTTGCATGAATATCCTTGAGATGTTCTATGAATGTATGAACATAGAGAAGAAAATTTTGGTCCATCTTCATGTCACAGGTCACTCTAGGAGCAGCACGTAAATAAGAGCTGATTCTTGACTAGTTTTTTATCATGTGTTTTGTTACAGTTAGTCTGATGTGCTAGGAACATGTTACAAAAGTCAATGAGTGATTGCTGCCCTTCCCTCTGTGTTTTGTTTGCTTTTTATTGTTTCCTACTCCTGGAGCTTTCATGAAGCAAATTTGATGCTATCCTTTTTATCTCTCCTTGAAGTTTGTTGCTTCAATCAATCTCTTTTTTCCATGAATAATATCCACCTTTTTTCTTAAAATATTAATTTGTGTTCACTTTGGGCTTGTCTTGCCTCAGCCAGTTCTCTTTGCAACTCAGCATATGTCTCTTCCTCTAAATGTGAAATGGATACAATCAGTTCTATGTTTTATAATATCCTAATTACTGTACTCACAGGTTACTGAGTTACAACAGTATGCTAGAGGGTCAATGAATCTTTTAAGTAAAATGAGGAGATTCATCTTTATGAGATCTAATTAGAAGGTGAAGTTGATAAGGATGAGGGGGGAAGGGGGGTGGGGCGGAAAGGGAGAGAAAGCCAGTAATAAAGTCTGATGCCTTCAAAAGCTGTCAAAGGAAGTCATCTACTTTCTTTCTTAGCCCTAGCTGGACTTCCCCAAGAGGTGTGGGGATCTTTGTGAAAGCACCTCGGGAGCTGGAAGTTCCCAAATGGCAGTTCCTTGGGGAAGCCAGGGATCTACAGATGTACATTGTTATGACAACTCCCAGCAGGAGGGACAGAAAAAGACAGAGAAACAGTAAGAAGCTTGAATGTTCGATTGCATGGTGTTGGTGAGCTAAACAGACACTGGGAAACAATGGAAGTATGTTTGCTGATACCTTCTCTGGTAATGTTTCCTGGGCACCATGTGCCAGAGGAGGGGAATCTACCTATTGACATGCCTGTGCTGGAGAGCTGGAAGTAGAGACAACTTGTAGGGCAAAGAAACCCACATAGCTTCTGTTGGAGGCTATAGACAATAGACTTTTACTGATACCATATACAATGTGACCTCTACATTTTTATGGATGCTTTCTGTTGGGATTTTGAAACATTCTGAAGCACTGGGAAAAATAATTGCTCCAAGATTGAGTAGTTCTGAATCATTTAATTATGGTGGTGTTTTTAAGAATTGTACATGGACTAAAAATAGATGTTTTCCTCCTCCATGTAGCCTTAGGCAGAAAAATTCATGTTAAGTTTTGATAGTGTTTGTTGACACCTCTGAATTGTATATGAAAAAGAAATTGCAGTGTACTGATTTCTTTCAATATTACTGATTCAGTACTAAAAATAGAAAGAAATTATTACTATTATTCTGTGTTCATATTCTTCACTGGAGTTTATGTAAGCAGATCCCCGTGTTATATGTGTAGAAACCTTCTGAATTCTGTGTGAACTGAGATGTATTTTTTTTTCCACAAATGCTGTTTGCTTAAAAAGGCAAGACTGTCATTTTGATTTTCATATATAAATCTCATTTCCCACTTTAGATGTGTGCATTTTATTCTCAGATTTTTTCATCCTTTTGTCAGCAGTGCACAGTTCCTAGATATTCTCTGGACCCTAAGCACAGATAGGATTCATACCTACTCTGTAGTATTTGGGTATTTGCTAGGCACAAATAAAATCTGTTATATTTATGAAATTATTTGTATAAGAAATTAATTTTCCTCATTTTTTTTCTGGCTTTCTGTGGTTTTGTTAGTTAGTTTGTTTTGTTTTAGGAAGAATGGAATTAATAAATCATCTATGATTAATTTTCATCACTTCTTGGCCCTATAATTACAAAGAGCAAAGTGTCTGTATTCATTGGAGGAAATTAATCTTTTAGAAAAATTCTCATCTGTTATATCTTTGTGGACCATGCATCATAAAGGAATTTACCAGGTGAGTTCATGGCACTGTCTGTCAGGATAGGTCAACAAAATTATTTCTGCTTAGCCCAGTATATGAGCCTGGTACCTCAATGCTTTTAAAGTGTGGGCACCTTGCTGGGGTGGGTCAGCCATGGAGAAAACAGCAACCATGATGCTCTGAGAATGCCACCTAGACCCACAGCCTTCAAATAACCATTGAAAAACTTTGTGTGCTTTAAGAAAGATATAGAAGCCCATAGGTACCAGCACTATCCTAAATTTTGGGCATTGCTACATGTGGTTCATCTCAGCTGGCCTCTCTGCAGCAGCACTATGTTGACTTCTGTTGGCAAGCATGGTGAGCAGAGGAGAATGTCTAGTTGAATTTCCTTCTTACTTCAGTGTGCCTCAGGGTGTTCTGTGAAAAACCATTCTCTACCAGAAACAAGCAGCAGTTCTGAACTTCAGGTGAAGAGAAGTCAATATATCAAGGTCAGTATTAAAAGATTTTTACTTGTAATGTGAACATATTATTCAGAACCATGTAGAGAAATGTTTGGGCAGCCAAATTTGCCCAGCACATCTGGGGTGGAAAGGTTGCCTTAGGTGAATGATACTGACCTAAAATGGCTGATGATAGGGCTATGCAAGCAGATTATCAATCACTGTGGGTTGTTTTTTTTTTGTGTTGTTTTGGCTTGGTATGGGGTTGTTTGTTTTTTTTTGTTTGTTTTTGTTTGTTTGTTTGGTTTTTTTTGTTGTTGTTGTTGCTTTTTTTTGTGTGTTTTTTTTTTATTTTTGTTTGTTGGTTTTGGTTTTGGTTTTTGTTTTTTTGTGGAGGAGAAACTTCAGCAAATATTACATCCCTAAATCCTCTGCATGACTGAAGTCTTTCTAAAGGAGCTGAAGCACTTCAGGGTTTGTTGTAAGATGACATAGCTCAGTGGAGCAGCAAACACAGCTGGTGGGAATGACTGTTTATATAAAATTAAGATAAATCTAGATCTATAAGATTTGTCCTTTAGCAAGATCCTTGAGATACCCACATTTGTGAGAAAGGATGGGGAAATGGGAGAATAATAATGAAGAGGACTGAGGAAATTATTCCATACTTCTAAGAAATGGGGGTGATTTCTGTGGATGTCACACGTGTCAGTGTCCTTGAAGCAGCCTGCCATCACTGATCAGATCAATTCCTAGTCAAGAGATGCAAAAGACTTCTGTAAATCTAAAAGACAGAAATTGAAATTTTTCCTGTTGTAACAGAGGGGAAAGAATTTGGGTAAAGTTTGAACAAAAGTGATGGACTCACGTGTGGAAGTGGCCTGTGGAAGAAAAGTACTCAGCTGAAGAACACAGAATACAGCACAACAGTCCTTCATAAAGCAGTTTTCTGTAGATTGGATTAGATATACTTTTATCTTGCTGAAATAAAAGTTATACTGCTATAAGACTTGCACAGCTGAGATGTCTGTAGTGTTTCACATTTATCTTTCCTGTGCTTTTGCTAGAGTTTTACCAGTCTTCTGCACAGCAACATTTTTATTAGGCTGGCTTACGCAGTTCACAAGCCTGTATTTATTGTCCATTTTATGATAAAGCAAGGGGCCTACTGTCATTGTTCTCTTTTCCAGATGTTGGTGTATCACCACTGAAACTGTTATTTGGATTAGGTTTGTAAAAAGGTTAAGAGTTGAACTTCCACTTATAGGGGAATAATGTGTAATAGTTTGTATATTGTCTATGAATTTTCTAAATTCATTGAAGCAGTGAATTTGGCCTCTGAAATTAAAAAGGTACTCTTTTGAAGTTATTTGGGAATTTGGTCATTCATTTCTGAGGACCTGCAGTTTCAGCTTAAATACAGACTTGATTGCCTGCCCAAAAGCTTGTCCCTTTAAGCTGTCTGTGTTCATGTTGTATGTACTGGTATTTTCAGGGCATACATTTCCGCATACATTAATAACTCCATTTTCTTAATAAAGCAGCGCCAGCTCAATCTTTAAGACTTTATGGACAGACAAGATGGAAGACTGGTTAGCAAACAGTGAATGCCAATCCTCACCTGTACTGAACCCCTTGAAAAGTCCTGTTAGCCAAATACTTAATGCTTAGCCT